ATTGCCTTATTGAAGACATCAAGCTTAGCACATCCTTCATGGTATTAGATGGTGGTTGGAGGTAGTCAACAGGAAACCCTGGACTCGGGTTTTGTGTTACTTGGCACTCGTCAGCAAGGTGTACCTATAATCTTGAGGGAACTTGTGCTCCCTGACGAATTCGATCCCGTGTCACTCAGTTTCACAATCAAAGACGTTACCACTGAGCTATCCGGCTCGCGACTGACCTCCTGTAGGAATGAGATGTAATCACAATTGATTGATCACTTGGTGGTGATCAATGTCCTGTGTGTCAAGTCCTTATTTAGTGCAGACCGAATGCTATCGATCATGTTGCAATGTGGCCACCAGTCTAGGTGACTCGACACTGCATGCACTATATATTGAAATTAGATGGTGGTTGGAGGTAGTCTTGACACGCATGACACTGATCACCATCCAGTGATCAATCATTTGAGATTACATCCTTCATGGTAGTCTAGATTCAATTGACTTATGATCTCAACTATTGAAATGACTACAATCTTTACAAAAAACCGGTAGGACTCTAATTTATGGACGAGCCAATCAGAAGCGTTTAAGGAATTTCAAGCTCACGGCGGTAAGTTCAGTGCAAGATGCTCACATTCAATCGTTTTACGGCAGATTTTAGAGAATAGGTGATCGTTGAGAGACTACAGCAGATGGCACTGTTAAGAAGTTCCTGTGTCTGTGACTGCGGCAATTAAATGACCGCAGCACGATGTGCAGACTGCCACGATGACATTGTATGTCGTTGTACTATATGTTGGAGAAAAAAATCTGCTCGAACTGGCACTTTTTTGCCCTGTCACGGCTAAGGCTAAGACAAACCATAATAACCGTTGCAAATTGGATCATAAAGTCTCAAGTAACATTAGCTGCGGCTATACCGATGATTGGAAAGTGTATAGATGCCTCTCCAGACTTGGTTTTGTGCATCATGTTGTGGTGCACAAACGTCATTTTGTTGATCCAACGACGGGGGTCCATACAAACAACATTGAAGGCGTGTGGTCTAGGCTGAAGTATTTTTAAAGACCCTACCATGGCTCCAGAGGACGATTATTATGGAGTCATATGGACGAGTTCTTATACCGCATGCACTATGATCTCAAAACTTCTGAACCTTTATCAAACCTCAACAAGTTCTTAAATCATGTAAAAGAAGAATATCCATTGTAATTCATTACTTTTTTATAATATATTTTTACTTTATACTAACTCTTTTCTGATTGGCTAATGCTCTCAAGGTCACTCAAAAATTCGTTCAAAGGTCGTCCATAAAGTAGAGTTTCACCCAAAAAACCCCTTCCGATATGAATTTTATCATTAAAATTATACTACTTATAAGTAACTAACCTATTTAAGATTAAAATTTCCCTGTAGCTCATGATCACTTTTACATTTGTATGATCTGTCACCATGTGTTTTCTTTATGGACAAACTTCGAGTAACGCTAAAAATGATCTTGACAATCTTCACCTACTTACTGGAGTTAAATGAACGTTATAAATTCATGTAAGGAATCATGATTTACAATTAAATGGAAAAGTTAGAAAAATTAAATTTAATGTCTTTATCATAAATTGACATCAGCTATTATGTCAAAATGGATGAATAAATTTCGCGCTAAAATCTAAGACCTGCTATCTTAAATTTGATTGTTTTGTTCATAAATTGTGGTTTCACCGATTTTTAATAGTGGATGTGTGTGTGTGTGTATGTAGATTGTATGGGAAATAAATGGGGTCAATTGTGATTGTTGTAGATCAACAGTTGGATGAATATTCAGACCTTCTTTCCTATCGAGAGTAGAGGGATTTAACATTATATGTAACGTTTAGGTTACTCATCTCTCTCTTTAGTGTTGGAAATGCCTTTCTGAATTATTTTGATATCTTTAATAACAATTTGATGATTTAAAAAGTTGAGATCATGAGTTAGTTGAAGTTACATCACCATGGGAAACCTGAAAGCACTGGACGGTTGTTTTGTCCTATTGTGGGACTCCTCAGTAGTGCGCATCCACGACTCATGATCTCAACTGTTGAAATTACTACAATCTCCACAAAACCCCTTTCTGATACTAATTTGATAATTATTGAACATAACATGTGCTGCTATTGCTGATCTAACCTGTAAATCTTCCAATTCTACAAGATTATTAGGAGGTATTTTTGTGTACCTTAAGTGTTCCTTGGTATGAATCGAGATTTCACGGAGAGACTCCCAATTGTAGAACACATTACAATCAATAAAACGTAATCTGTGAATACGATCATAGCTTTTATCCTAATCGAAGCTCTTTTTTAGTGTCATTTGTATTACACAAGGTTTTAATTTTGTGCCTTCTCAAGATCTATCGTATTTCTTTTGTAGTACGATGGCGGTAAGGTAAGTCCAAAACCCTAAGTGCACTAGCAAGCCCCCCCCAAATATCGTGGTACTGCCGAGGGTGGAGAGAATCGGCTCTCCCTCTCGAAATGCTCTCATGTGCATACAACCACTGCCATAAAGTCCTACTCATTGCCTTCTCGCACCATGGGTGTTGTTTACGAAATTGAGAAAACGAAAAACGAATGTCTGATGCTTTAACCGGGTTGGTGTATATTTGAGGATCCACTTAGACGAGTTGGAAAACCCTCATTCCAAACCAATGATACACATGGGCTCTAGTATCTTGGAAGAACAAATGGCGTATGAACCAACTAATAATGACCGACTAACATGGGACTGCATCTCTTCCATAAATCGAATGATTTATCTGGCGTATATCTGTTTGGTGCCTCCTTGTACCAATATTTATGTGTTCTAAAATTGTGTTTATCTGTTTAAAGAAATTTCTAAGAAAAGTCATTTGAATAATGACAAATATGTCATCTATAAATCTTAGCCAGCTATGTGATCTGATGGTACTAGCAAGAACAAGCAACTTAATATGGGACATATATAGTTTGGCAACAACTGAAGATCCCATGGATATCAGAATGGGTTTTGTGGAGAGTTTTAGAAATTTTCACAGATTGAAATCATGAGTCAGTTGAAGCTCACTGAAGACAATGGTGTACGGCGGCGCAACTTCGTGGATTGGTTGAAGTTAGACATTAACGCCGTCGGATGCCGGCTCAGTGGTCTAGTGGTTAAGTGCTCGCGCGCGAAACCAGTAGGTCGTGGGTTCTATCCCCGCGTGGTGCGGGATCGTGGATGCGCACTGCTGAGGAGTCCCGCACCAGGACGAAACGGCCGTCCAGTGCCTCCAGGTTTCCCATGGTGGTCTAGCTTCAACTGACTCATGATTTCAATCTGTGAAAATCCCATGGATACTTCATTTGTTTGTTCATATGAAGGCCTCTATTAAAAGTGAAAAGTATTGAATTCAAACATAACTTGATGAATTTCATGATTGAACTAATGCTTAACAGATATCTACTGAATAAGGCCTTATCATTCTTTAGTAAACCATTCATGAAATCAAGACATTCGTCAACTAGAATCCTAGAATTTAAAGATACACCATCATAGCTTATCATTGATATTATAAATCTCTATAAATTAATAGATCGTACAAACAATCACCTACATTAATGTCAACTTCCTAGATTCGTAAACGATGACAATCAACTAATACTTAACACAGTAATGTTTCTGCTAGGTTTGAAGTTATCACGAGTTCACTTAATCTGCGAACGAGAACAAAGATTCAGCGTCCCAGATCCGCTAACTAGAGTGAAAAGTTCAAGCTTGGAATGAGAAAGTATATTCTGCAAACAGCCAGAAACGAGCCACAAACACAATTCAAACATATACATATATATTAATTATATGTATATAATCGATAGTGCCATGGAAGTTTTTTTTAAACATTGAATCGATAAGCTCTTCAGTCGACTATATGCATGTATGGTAAGAAATCCCCAAGCATACATCTGTATACAAGCTCCATACAGATAAAATTACCAAATATGAGTTTTGGGGATTTGTCGTCCCCAACACTTTCACAGCATCGAATTGTTCCACGAATAAATAAATTATATTTTGTAACCGTTAAGGTAATGATGCGACATTCATCATTCCCAATGGAATATGATATTGTAGTTACATAATCTTTGTCAATCTATTCTAATTGATACATAATGAAAAGTCAAACAAAGTTGGGATAGCTTGAAACGTTGGTACATGTATTACTTAGTTAACATTCTTTTAAAGTTTCTAATCACTTTCAAGATATTATCAGTTTCAGAAAAAGAATCATTGGATGCCGGCTCAGTGATCTAAAGGTTAAGTGTTCGCGCATGAAACCAATAGGTCGTGGGTTCGAATTTCTCGAGGTCGAATCATCGATACACACTGATGAGGAGTCCTATAACAGGACGAAACATCTTATTTGGGACTTTATAAATGAATGTATCAACCCAGTACCGCCTGCTTCAAACACCAACGCATTATCCACTTAAGTTCTGAATTATGATAGCCAAATGCTTGTGTAATGGGGTAAAGTTTAAATTCGCTTGGTGTTGTTGTTCACAACTGCTATTGATCAGTCTCTTGTTTGCATGTATGCAGCTTATGAGTATTGCCTCGGTATCGCCTTAAGTCATAAACATTGTAAGAAAAGATGGATGGTGGCTAGTAGTGGAATGGAGGACGTGCGTTTCGTCCTATTTGAGATTCGTCAGCTGGATGTACCTACATCCTGTAACCAAAACAACACTAAGTGAATTGATCTTTGTATTCATTGATACATTTAATGATGTCTAATATGGATACTCGTTATAACAAGACAAATACATGTCTCTTCTTAGATTTATCAACCTCCTTGTTTTATATTTCCCTATTATAGTTCTTAATTTACCAATCAAGATAATTGAACATTCTTCTCTTGTTTCATTTTATTCATCTGATTCATTGTCTTAATCATTGTATAGACAGAAATTGTAATTTAAGAATACAAGTAGGTACTTGAATAAGTTTTACTTTGTCTATGATAAAAATGATGATGATGATGATGATGATGATGATGATGATGATGATGATGATGATGATGATGATGATGATGATGATGATGATGATGATGATGATGATGATGATGATGATGATGATGATGATGATGATGATGATGATGATGATGATGATGATGATGATGATGATGATGATGATGATGATGATGATGATGGTGATGATGATGATAATACAGAATGAAATTTGTAGTTTAGAAAATGACTCATTCTCAAGTTGAAGAATTAAACTTACTACTTGTAAAGTTATTATGAATATTAGCAACATTATTAATGAGTAAATGAAATCAAAATGTCCTGCAGTGTACTTCATTCGTTCGTTCCCCCTTCGTTCCCTCCTTCCTTCGTTCCCTCCTTCCTTCGTTCTCTCCTTCCTTCGTTCCCTCCTCCCTTCGTTCCTTCCTTTCTTACTTGCTTACTTACTTCCTTCCTTCCTTACTTACTTACTTGCACCTGTTACTTATTTTGAAGAGCATAGAACGTCCATCAATATTCTCCATAGAAATCCGTTCAGAGTAATTCTTTCCAGTTCTTCCTTGTTCCTATTCATTCTTTTGATGTTTGATTCCAATTACCAACTCAATGTGTTCTTTGGTTTTCTTCTCTTCTGTTTACCTTTAGGATTTCAAGTTAAGCCTTGATTGTTGGTGCAGTTTGGTGATTTTCGTAATGTATGTCCTATCCATGTTCAACATCTTTTCCTAATTTGCCATTCAGTTGGAAGCTGAATTGTTCTCTCTCAATAAAAGCTGTTGCTGATTACATCCAGTCGACAGATGATGGTCGTAGTAGTTCTCTACCTTTTGCTATATACTACACAGAAAACTCAATCCTAAGAGAATATATGTGATTTTAAAACATAAGTGAATGATACTAATAATTTCACTCATTATCAGAGAGTAGTACAGTATAAACATTTAGATAGCAGTACCATCATTGTTTGATACACCATTCATGTTTTCTCAAATCAACTAGTATCATTCATTAATATTTACTATAAACATACTCACTATGATCCAACTTTACATTACGGATCAGAAACTCAGCTATATTGAATGTTAGATCTTGAAATGATACCATAGTCAGTAGGTACATTCCAGTATACAATAAACAATCAGTCAATGAACGGTAAAATGATTGACATATTAATGATAGCATAGTAAACATTGAGAATAACCCCAATTAAGAATGTTATAATAAGATAATACTGTAATAATCTATCTATCAATCTATCAAACAGTTGGCTTATTGTGAGTTTTCAAAAACTTGACTTGAAATTCTCTTTTAATCTGTTGCCTACAAATGCCCTGGTTCGGTTGAGAGTGGGGAGAGTCAACTTTCCCTCTCCAAATGCTCTCACATGGCCACGTGCGTACAACCACTGCCAGAGAAGTCCTATTCACTGCCTTCTCGTAGCGAAGGTGTTATTTATGAAGTCTAGAGGCCGTAAAGTGGATGTTCAGTGCTTTAAACGGTTTGGTGGATATGGTGGATTCACTTAGGGAAGTAAGAGAACTCCGATTCCAAACAAATGGTTAACATGGGCTCCAGTATCCTGAGGGAAATAATGGAGTATGAACCAACTATTGATCACCAGCTACCATGGGACAGCATCTCTTGACGTTCTTGCACTGTCTTGTGGATTAGAACTCTAGGTCAAAGGCTCTGGGCGTGGCCCCCTGAGGAAACCATCTGCTTCAGTCTGAGCATCCTGGCAGTGTCACAGCCCACACATAAATCGAATGATTTATGTGGCACGTATCTATTCGGTGTCTCATTGTACCAATGTTTATGTGTTTAAATAAATAAACATATAGAGAGAAATCGAACAACTTCACTTTTATCAAATATTTCCACGGATCATATTGTCTTCATACTTTATGATTCAATCATTTGCTTCATTGAACGAAACTCTTTCAAAATCAAATAATAGTGAATAGCTTTAGCATTGCGGTAATTAACCCATTCTGGTTAGCGTCACAATACAAGCCCTCACATGGAATTCTCAAGGCCAAAGGAAAAGAGAGAGACCAAAGAACACATTACGCCGGGAAATGGAGATAGATATCAGAAGAATGAACAACAATTGGATGGAACTAGAAAAGAATGCCCAAGACAGAGTGGGTTAGAGAATGCTGGTTGGAGGCCTATACTCCATTAGGAGTAACAGGCGTAAGTAATTAAGTAATTAACCCATTAATAGAACTTACTAATAACTACACAGAAGATTAAAATAATCACCATGAATTGATTTGAAAAATATTATTGTAAGTTACTCAATTGATTGATACTCTGGTGTACGCTACTGATTGTCGATAGAAATAAGTAGTATGTATCATTAATCGAAAGTGAAATGTTTGGCGTCAGAAGGTTAAGAAGATCAAACAAAAGAGAATGAGAACAAAATGTGATTGGTATGGAAACAAAAGAACAACGATCCCGCGAGCCGGATAGTGGATGTGTACTGTTGAAGAGTCCTATACTAGGACGAAACGGCCTTCCAGTGTTTCCATGTTTACCATTGGCGGTCTAACTATAATTGACTCATGAATTCATTTAATATAAAATGGATATTGCTACAATCCCCACAGAACGTCTTCCTGATAATAAGTTAATGATTCAAAATTATTGAGGATTATGTAATATATAGAGAAAATAGAAATATATAAGTATGGGGTTGTGGAGATTATTTAGTTTTTGATTGAGATCATGAATCAATTGATATTTAACCAACACGGATGCACTGGATGGTTGTTTTGTCCTATTGTGGGACTCCTAGGCAGTGCACATCCACAATCCCAACTCTCGGGATTCCAACACAAGGCCTTCAATCTCCGGAGAGAACGTTTAATTTCTAGACCACTGAGCTGGGCGGCGTCCAATGGTGTTAATATCTGACCTCAACCAATCCACAAAATTGCGCAATCATCTTCCATTGTAGTGAGGTAAATACCTGTCTTTACCTGACATTGATTAGCTCCACTGATCACGGCTTCTCACTAGCAAACATTTCATTTTCAATAGACGCCATGTACTACTTATATCTGTCAACATCATGTATATATTATATATATAGCAATAGAATAAAAAACATACATGGTTGCGTAATCAGTTATTTTGTATCCACTGAGTAATTTGCCATTTGCGTGCTCGACACGAAGTCAAAAGTTCTGTGTTTGATCCCTAGTAAGGCCGTGAATTCCCAACGCTTACTTACTTACGCCTGTTACTTCTCGTGGAGGAGCATAGACCGCCCACCAGCAATCTCCATTCAACTCTGTCCTAGACAATCCTTTCCATTTCTTATTTCATCCTTTTCATATTTGCTTCTATTTCTTGATGTAATGTGTTCTTTGGCCTTCTTCTTTACCGGTTCCCTTCAGTATCCAAAATTAGGGCTTGTCTCCATGAGATATACGTATTCAAAATCCATTCACATAGTTGACTTATTGAATTCTGTTATTCACTAACGCATGTTAAGTCGATGATTATATACGAGGGTAGCTGGGATGTATATTTCGATAGCAATCATTCGTACGATCCGGTTAGAGTCAGAGTTTTTATTAAATAACCACCCGCTATTTAAATATCATATCAAACTTACCATGGGATTGGAAGTTAGTAAGTATGATGGTATTACTGATGGAAAGTATATACATCAACAAGGATGAAATAAATGATTGTCGGTAACTTCCAAAATTGATATCAATCTTTGTTTTATTTTAACTTCTTTATTGTTTCATTTCAACTCTGCCTGGAGCCTCTCTGGGGATACTGCCGGTCCCAAGCCCGGATAAAGGAGGAGGATTGGGGGCTGAAACTTATAGAACCACTACAATACCCCCAAATCCGCTGGTACGGCCGAGAGTGGGGAGTCCGCCCTCCCTCTCGAAATACTCTCATATGGTCACCTGTATATAGCCTCTGACAGGGAAGTCCTACTCACTATCTTCTCGTGGCATCACTATTGTTTACGAAATTGAGAGGAAGAAGAGCGAATGTTCGGCGCTTTAACCGGGTTGGTGGACATAGACTTACCGCCTAGGGAAGTTGGAAAACACTGATTCCAAACCAATAGTGCACATGGACTCCAGTACCCTGAGGAAACAAATGGCGTATGGACCAATTGTTGGTCAGCGGCTACCATGGGACCGCATCTCCTTACGTTGCTCCACTGTCTTTTGAATTAGACCTTTATGTCAAAGGCTCCGAGTGTGCCCCCCTAAGAAAACCACCTGCTTCGGTTTGGGCCCCCGGACAGTATCACAGCCCTCACACATATCGAATGAGATTAGTGTGGCGCATATGTATTTGGTGCCCCCTTGTACCAGTATTAATGTGTTCAAATAAATAAATAAATAAGAACTACTACAATCGTCATTAAAATGGTACGAATATTTATAAGAAAGAATTGCCAAAGATTAACCAGGATAGAGTTGAATGAAGAGTGCTGATGGGAGGTCTATGGTCCTTCATGAGGGATAACAAGCGTAAATAAGTAATGAAATAATCCATCACTTTCACGTTGAATAACTTCAAAACAACTTAATACATATTCATTCGTTACTTATTTTTTCTTCTAATTAGCATTTATTTTAACGAGTTATTTTTTCTACAGGATAGAGTCACTAACTCCATCTTCAACCTTTTTCCCTTTATTCAGGCTTAAAACTGGTAGTAACAACCGATGGTCACCAGGTAAAGTTTGTAACTAGTTTGTGAATAGTTAATTGCTCTTCGGAAGAGGTTTTGTGGAGATTTTTTTTTAGAAATTTCGCTAATTGAAATCATTATCGCATTGAAGTTAGACCATCATAGAAAACCTGAAAGCATTGGACTCCTCAACAATCCCATACTAGAATGAAACGACTGTCCAGTGCTTTCAGGCTTTCTATAGTGATCTAGCTTCAATTGACTCATGATTTCAATCAATCAAATTACTCTTCAATCTATATCTATCTTTCATACAAATTATCTTATATGTTTATGGAGTATCGACGACGTATCAGTCATCTAGTTACCTGATTATTATTATACCATTATAATAATCAGCTTCATTGATATAAAATAATGATGAAATGGAATGTTGATTTCATTGTCACATGTTAAACTGTTTATTTGTTTCTATCTATTGGTTACAAGTTAAATTATCTTTAACACGCAAACGTTTTTTTTTTAATATTTTAATCAATATTTTGTCATAGTAACTA